TAATGGAACTGGTTTGCTCTATTGGCTTTCTATTCGTTTTCTGCGATGTGATTTCTGTGTAATCATAATTTTGGCCCACCCTGTATATAGAGTATATAGCAAAATCATGTATATGGATGTACGTTGGTAAGGAAAATTGTAGGCTCTGGCTCTTGGTTGCCCAATGAGTCGTCATAGTCAGTAAAATTCAACATACAACAACTAGGCATGTGTTACTCCTATAGCTAAGAGAAATGAGTAAGTAATTACATGAAGGATGGAATCAGTAACTACAAAAGATGCGAGAATTAAATTAAATGTATGTAACTGACTGACTGACTTACGGTTGGGCACGGTCCTTGTTCAAGCTCAAACGGGGAAATTCAATGTCCTGCGTCATCTCTGTCATCCGAACTCCATTCCATAGTGACGATGTGATGCGATGACGATGGGCCTGTGATGCAGTTAGCGACGGTGACGGAAGACAAGTGAATGATAGTGGTGCTAGAGTCCCCATTGTCATTGCATTGTGGCGTTCTGTCGTCCTCTGCCGACAACGGTACCATTGCGCTCACGCTCAAGTACGCCTTAGTTCTCTGTACCCACCCTTTCTGAAAAGGGATCTTCTGAAGTAGAGCGAAGGGTAGGATGATAGATGAAAATGCTCACTGTTCACAAGAAAACGGCGTTCGCTCATTTCGAATATATTGGAAAAAATTTTGGGATTGTTCAGATTATTCTCGGTGCTTCCTCATTGCGAGTGCATAACTTAATTTCGAAGTACTGCTCAAATTCGATTCTTGATGAATTCCGGTCTTTTGTTCCTTCAGTTATGACTTCTACCTCCTAAGCTGTGCAACCGGTATTTGAAGAACACCTTGTTCGGCCCTTTCGGCGCTTTCGCCTCTACTCTTCTTTTTTTTTCAACCTGTCTTGACATTCCATGAATGAAATGCTCGATACGCTCCATATTTGTACTGTCGGTTGAATATTCGGCCTTCTTGTTTGAGTTTAGAAGTATATAACTGCATGTAAGTATGTTGCCTGTTCAACTTTACAAGCATGGTCCAGAGGAAGTGTTTACGATGACAGTGTATGCAGTTAGGAGATGAACGCGTGACGGAGACGATGATCAGAAGCTTAGACGATATTGGTTTGTGGTATAATTACGTGTAGTGGTATTAAATTCACACGTCACGATAAAAAAGGTCTCTGAAATTACCCTATGGTATGAATTCGAAGCTACCCCTTCTACCATACCCGCCCTTATGAGGTCGAAAAACGTCCTGGATAGGGCAGAATAAGGGACAGAGATTGTATCATGTGAATGTCACTCCCATAGTGGACGAATTTCAACGGTTTCGTAGAGCCTGCACTATCTCAAGAAACTCCCATGTAGGAAGTTCAAACATCGTATTATGACCCAAGCGACGGTGAAAGGCAGTTCCGGACAATTTCGGCTTGATGTAGTCATCTTTTTGCGCAATGAGAGCAAGTTAAATCTCGTCCAAACACCCCTCACATGCCAATCTTTTGTTTTCTCGGATTTTCTCGCTTTCCTAGCTACCGATGGACTCCTCTACATCAACACTTCCCCTTCTAGAATTAAAGGATTCCTCAAAATTATCGTGAACTGTGCCTAAAGTGATCTCAATCAGTGAAAGCTTATTGAAGTGGGGAGTACTTCTGGATGTTATCTTTCTGGCCTCAAAATCATTTCCAGAAGGTGAGCCTATTTCACTGGTTAACACATTTGGCCTCTTTTTCACGGATGGACTACTGACTACTACCGTACATTTTTTTATCTGCTTAGGGCCATCGTAAACATTACCTTTGAACATTCTTTTTTGCATGCTTGTTACTATCCTCTTTTACTTACGCTTTTTTAATCGTTTTTATTACATTCCCCCATCAGCAAGATGAATTTGAGTACTCGTTTGGATACGTGAACGCACCATTACCTATGCTGTTGCAAACTTCACCTGCACGTTACCCTAATCCAGGCTGTATTTCAAACTGTTCGGATTATATTTTATCTGGATGCACGCTACGTTTTCACTCACGCCGAAGATTCGCCTGTGTTTTGCACCCACTTTCCGCTTTCCATTTCCTTATTCAATTCTATCGTTTCATTTCTTTCAGACGCTTTCAAATGAGTATCATACCACGGCCAGTTATGTGAGTTTTCCGCGTGATTCCCACCTGAATAAACACCCATGTGGTTGAATTAATGGCATTTCCATTCTGAGCATCTTGTTTCGTTCGCTTGAAGTTGTTTATCGAAATCGTTCCGGTATTTCAGGAGTACCTCATGTCTCTTTTGCGCAAACTGATCCTTCGCTTCAATCCGCTGCCTAGTCAAGCTGCTTATTCTCTTCTCAATTATTTGGTCAGTTTGTATGTAAGGGAGGGTTCCTCTGCATCCTCACACCAAATGGTATTTGCAGTTCGGGTTTGTTATGCACTATGTGCGAGCTCAATGCGAAGGCTCAGATAAGGCGCTGGGCATGGCGCTCTCGTTGACGTGGATTTTAGCACCGAATGTTCACGGCCTCTATTTCAAGGACCTCAAACAAACACTGAAGAAAGAGCAGTGTGACGTGAGTTATTGGTTCCTTATATTTCCGACGAAGCACACTTTTTATCTTGTTTTCAAAAATCGTCCATTCACAGATCCTTTCCGAATTATAGCCAGAATTAAGAGCCCTTCAATTTCCAGTTACTAGTTTATGTACACTATACAGGCAAGAAATAAGGTAACGGTAACTTTGGCAAAAAGAAGGTCATAGGAGGGCTATGAAAGAACCAGTGTGGAGAGCAGAAATGATTGTAAAAGAGCTTTGGATGCTATGTAAGGTGCAACCCCAAATAGGTCTACATCAGAGCTGAGCCTTTAAAGTGTATTGGCGAGGGAAGAGCGTGTCCTGTAGGAGGGATAACATCAATAAATAATATATAAATAAATAAATAACAAATAAACACGCCCTTTTCGAATGGTGTTAAAGCTTTCGTCAAAGTAAAAATTGCCTTTAAAACATTAATTTTCAAATCTGACAGACTCATTGTAGTGCCTCCACCCGCTAAGAAAAGAGTAAGGTTATCAAAATGGTCCTCAGAAAATTTTTCCCTTCGCAAAAATTATCATCAGGCAAAATAGGTGCTCGAGTTTTTCAGTGACCCACCATGGAAATATGCTCATTCAATTATGAAAATCGGAAAAAAATGATACCATTCACTTTATTTTTTAGCAAGCCCTCATGATAACTGCAAACGTGCCGTCGGCTAAGAAGATCATCGTCCATGGTCCAGATTCGGGGCTAGGGGGAATTCCAAGCCAGTTTCCCGTCCACGAAGATACTCAGTTTCAGCAGATTCTAAGGTAATCCTCCTGATTAACTTTGCTCGTGTGACACCACGATTTCTTGCCGTACGGTACTTATCTGTCTCTTTCGAATCCATCGAAATACTTTTTTAGACGGATTTAAAATTCTTTGCAGTGATAGTATTGAGTTTTTCAATATCGACGAGAACGAGGTCAACTCATACTTTCTAACAGATGCTAAAACTGGTGTTCTGCACTTACCTTCTTGTTATATCAGGCACGTTTATTGCCTTGTTCGCAAAGCATTCCTCCTATGAGAATCAGACTTATGACCAGTAATTTAAAAACTTTATTTCCAGGGATTTTTACTTTTTTCATCGCTCCTTCTATCCACAGCTATCTTTGGTAAAATTGGATTTGGACGAGGCTCAGTTGAAGATGCGTGAAACGGCATTCGCTCAGCGATTCATTGAAGTCGGAAAAGTTCTGCTCACACATAATATACTCAAATACAGTCCTCAACATGTGGTCAGTGTTTAAACCTTCCCCAGTTAGTCGATAATTAATCAAGATCGAAAGAAACCATTCTCTGAGCTGAGATGGTGATGATATTAAAGTCACGGTTTACGATAAAAATGGTTTCTGAGATTTCCATAGGATGAAGCTGAGGCCGCCTCGTATACCGTATCTGGCGCTTTAGGTTCGGAAAACGGCCTAGTTAGGGCGTTATAAAGGCTCAAAGGTTGTGCCGTGTGTATCTTCGGACGAGTTTCACCGGCCTTGCAGATGCTGCACCGATCACAAGGGAACCCATGCAGGAAGTTCAAACAACTTGTCATGACCCATAGTGACAGTGGAAGGCAGTTCTGTAGAGACCTGGCTTGATGTATTCAGCTCATTGCGCTATTGCAACAACTGAAATCTCGTCCGAATACCCCTTCCATTTTATTACCGTCATGGCAATCTCGTCCAACCCCTATTTTCCCTACTTTTAAGGAACCTTATTTGACATGAAATCCGCGAATTCCCTCGTTTTTTCGCTGCCGATGAACTATTCCTATCCCGCCGCATTTTGAATAAAAAGGTGTACCTGATTATCGTGAACTGTGCCTCCAATTAGAGAGTTGTGCGAGCACCTGCTCATTCCCCTACAGTGATGGCTAACATGCTCCTTATTTTTTACTTCAAAGTTCAATAGCCAGTGAATGTCGATTGTTCAGATTGCTCAACGGGTTTTCTTTCTTCACGATGAACTGACTCATTTGCCGTCGTTTCCTCGGAAGAGTCTCGAAACGTGCTTTGGAATGTTTCATGGCGAGATGGGTGAACAGCTGAAAGCTATGGAAGCCATGCATAAGTTCACGTGGGCCAAGGTGAATCACTTTATTGGCTTCCGGGCAAACAGTAAACTCTCTGACGTCAAGTTGTAGAAGGGCTCTTCTGAGATTCTACAGAAATTATTATCTATCAGGGGCTGTTGTTTCAGTTGGTTAGATTCGGGTATGTTTCAGAGAAGTTGTTCATATTTGATTCATGTTTTCAGTTGATGTCCGACATGTTCGAAAAGATGGAGAACGCGTTTATGTTTGCTGACTTGCATCTGTTTATCAATGTGGTAAGAAAGTTTCTTCAATTGTTCAAAATGAAAGCAGAGCAAGTATAGATGACTAGCCTAAACAGTTCATGAACACTCATTCTTCCTTCCCCTCTTGTTTGAAGCTGTCAAAGTGGCAAGGAAGGGAACGGTAAGGTAGTGAAATAATAAATATACTTTTCGTGTGGTACCGCGAGGGCAGAAGGCTGGTCAAAATAAATTAATTTGTGAGGAAAAGCTAAATTTGGCGTTGCTTCACTATAAGGAGCCAAGAAGTGGGGTATCAGCTTGTTGTAAACCTTTCACCTACAGCTATGTATATTTTCGAATGAATGGCTGTGTCCCAGAGCAGTCGATTCTCTAATCGACCTTCATCTCATTGCTACGCTTACACCAAAGCGACCAAGAGCAAGAGAGCGAACTTTCATAGCAATCCTCTTAGTTCACCTGCAGAAAATAATCTCACCCCACTCCTCTTCGGAAGGTTTTTGAATTTTTTTCCGTTATTTTTCGGATATTGCGGCATCTACGTCTTCATTTCCTGTAGTAGTCACCGCTCGTGGTCGGTATGTACCGCTCAGCACAGAATCATATTTTTCGATTCCGAGAATCCCACTCTTGGTCTGCATGTGCGCAACTTGTGAGGTTGGCAGTGATCCTGGAGGCGGTAGTAGCAGAACAACTGTTCGTGTACGGCAGCTCTCCTAATCTTGGCTCGTTGACGAAGCACAAAACTTTAGACTCCTTTTTGTACTTGCGTGTGAAGGCAACCACTGGTCAATGCTTTTCCACAGCTCCTTTGCGAAGGGGAATGATTGTGAGTCTCATCTCGCCTTACTTGAAATGCAAGTCTTTGAAGTTTGGGCTCAAGTGGTAAGGAATGCAGAATCGTGAATGTCTTCAGTACTCCACGATAGCGGAGACAAATCGAAAGCGTGTACATGGATTGCATGGCTTGTCGCCACCTCTCACCCCACTCTGATTTGCCACCTTCACTGAAGTTATTGAACCCGCTGTATTACATAAGCCTATCGTTCTTGAGGAGCTATGCATTCTAAGCTTGAGAATGAAGTTATTATTCTCATATTCTGAGCTGTAAATTCCAAAGAAACAGTACCAAGATTCGAACTTTCTGTTTATTCCAAGCTTACTTCCAGAAATGGAATCGCTTTTTTTTAGGTGAACGGTATAATGATCATGCACTGTGAAGATCTTTTGATTCTTCGTCGCTGCGCCGCCACCTATATCGCCATGAGCATCCATTTCAATAGCTTATTCGCTAGTCAGGTACAATCTAACTGAACCAGGTTGCATTTGTTGCAAAGTTGAGCGGTATAGAGTGATTCCAGAGTAATCCGTTCCAGGGTTTCTTCCTGATCATGCCTACCCTTCTGCGATGCTATAGTCAGCGACAGACGAATCGCGTTTTCTGCTCAGTGGTTGAATTTCTCTGTCGTCAGTTCTATACACTACATCGGAAGCCATTTCTCCTACAAATGTGTGGATCCATCGCTAATATCATCGACAACAACAACAACGACTTTGAGATCAATCCGATGCGAGTGAAAGCGAAGGTCAGTGCTTCCCTTAGACCCTTGGGGCAACAGTAAGGCTCGAAGCCTTTGCAAAATGTCTGTTGTCGTATCTCTTCCAATGACCTAATAAACGCTAAAGTTCTGTTAGAATTTTTTTACCTTCTCTCTCTATTACTATTAATAACCTTTAATTTAGTACTGGTTCACACTTTTGAAGAACATGGAAAACATGGGAGACGAAACGGACCAATTTGATATTCTTGGCTTGGTACCATATGATAAACCGCTGAAGGTATGACCGATCAGAGAGCCATCTGTCACCGGCGGCTTCAGTTCCGTCGATAGGGAATCAAGCTTATACTTCAGGCGTTGGATCTTTGCTACCGAGACGATCCCAACACGTTTTGTCTGCTAACTGATGCCATAGCTAGCTGTATTTGTGTGTGCGCGTTTGCGCCGGAAAGTAAACGAAGTCATCATATGCTGGTAAGTGGGCATCAAATTGACCTTGGGCGTGTTATGTAGTCTGCAGGGCCAATGGACTGACTAGTTAGAGTAATCAGGGGTTAAATTTCTGCAACAGTCTAACATCCAACTCAGAGATTAAACTGTAGAAAAATCAAGCAGGATTTGTAATGCCATTATATGCAGTTAGGTTATCTTAACCTCTTTCTACGCCCCCTCAACTCCCAAGCCTTCATTCGACTTTTGTCCACCTTACCCCGTAAAGAATACTGTATTTTCAGCTAGTCATGGCAGCTCTTCAGCCTCATCTGATTCGTCGGATAGAGGAGGAGACTATGCTTCAGAACAACTCCCATGCCGCAGTAAAGCACGAGGTGACACAGTGGACAACGATGTGTGTAGAGATGAAAGCTCTCATAAACAGTTGCGATGTTCTGGCTAGGTATATCACTTTCCTTTTTTTAACAAAACCTGCAAAGGGAGCTGTCACCGTAATCCTTGCTCGCTTCAGAGGACCACAACGTGCATTTGATCTGGTGAACACGGTATCTGAGCGAGGAAAGTCGTTTGTCGCTGATTCGCCACAGTTTTTTGATCCTCCCACTACAAACGAAGATGAGAATAGTCGTCCGTATCATGTGTAAATATTCACGTCTTGTTATCTACGTATCGTTCTCCTGTCTCTTCCAAAGAAAACTCAAAATTTTTTAGGAAGGAGAAGAAATCCGTGGCTATAGGCTGGGAAGCGGCTGATGTTGAGGAATCGCATAAAGAGAGTTACAGACGCTCACGTGATACACTACTTTGTTTAGCTGCTCAATTCATCGAAATGGCAACACCAAGGTAGGTACAGTATTAGCACGGGGCCTCAGTAGCCAGGCTTTTCTGCAGTGGCCATGGTCATTATCGGCAGTGTGAAGCTGAAGAATAAGGGTGAAATGTAGTAAAGGGGCTAGAGCGCACTGAATTTTTAGGGAGGTTGTTCTGTTACAAGTACAAATTGAATGCCAACGAAAGCCACTCTGTTATTCGCCTCTTGACGGCGCTGCACACTCAAAGAGAGATTCGTCTGAGCAGTAAGATGCAACTATGGTTCTTTGTATTCGCACTGGACCCTAGGGGTTTCTGTAAGCCTTTTCAGTAGATTGGTGACTTCTGTTCCAGTTTACTATGATAAGGCTGATAAATTTGCTAATGTCACAACTTAGGTCTTGCTAGCGCGAGATTGACAGTCTCATGAAGCATTTGATGCCTCGCTCTCTACGTAATGTTAGGAGGTACTTCTGTGAATTTTGAGGAGTCAAGCGAGAACCTTCTGAAATATTGACAATACAAGCAAATCTGTCTGGTGTGGCCTATGCCTTCTACTGCTTTCGACATATCACGGTTTTGAAATGTTCCAGGCTCCTGCAGAGCGCAGCACCTAACAATTGGCTGCCTTTCCATTTTTAAATGTTTAACATTTAGGCTGAAGGAACTGGCAAAACTCAGTTCAGCAAGTGAGCACACGAAGATTCCCGAAGTAATGGATCATAAGTGTCATGTGAAGCTGAGTGAAATCGCCTTGGCCCTGCTGAAGATCGCTTCCTACGATTTGACAACGATGTCATGTCTCGGTTTGCAAAAGTGCGTACTTGTATCAGTTGCTTGTTAAATCATTCGTGCTGAATCTCCAGAAGGTGCTTCAAGCTGGGTATCATTATCATTATAAAACAGTGAAGCTGGAGAGCTAGTCATCGTTGGCTAGATGAAGTGGCATGAAAAAGTAACTTCTCCTGAACGATTCTGCAACAATTTTTTCTACTCAGCGTGCATTCAGGTACTTCACGACGATCATGCCAGTCACCGACTGGTCGATTGAGTCAAATCGCTCGGCATTGGGCATTATTCTAAAACGTCTAGACAAAACAATCGCAAAGATAGCCAAGAGACAAAGCATTCGACGTCGGGTGAATTGGGCAGCTTTGGCCAGCTGGATCAAAGGGATATGCGATACTTTGTCCGTCTTTCCCTACATGGCACATCTGAATCCCTTGAAGGTATAGAAACTCGGTTATTCTTTATTCATTACCTTTTCCTTCGCTCTCAGATTTTACTTGAGCTTTTTCGATCCCCACCACTCTAATAATTCTTCTCATTTTACAGTCGACTACCCAGCTCTGCTTGCGAATTATTGCTGGTGACACTTTTCACGAAGAGGGTGTAGTGGCAAGTCATCCAACAACAGTACTGCACTCGTCACCACCACCGCCAGTATTTTGCAACGCCGTACTGAGAATGACGATAATTCTGATGCAAGCATTAGGGCAGGTGAGCAACACTTCTATTGTAAAGTAGTCATAGGTTTCTCTGTCTTGTCTGGAGTACAGTACTGTGGACGTATTTCCCGAGACTCATCCATTTTGATTCCTAGATGAGAGGGCTTCACACTATGACCTTTACCCTTTACTTTTCTGCTAAATATCGCAATATGCTTCAGAACATTTCAGGCATCATTCTCATTGGAAATGGTTTCTGGTGTGGAAGGTTTGGGAGCAGCATCGGAACGTGTAGAGGCTGTACTATGTCATCTCCTCATACCTCTTTTTCTGCGTACTGCAACGAATCCGAAGGGTGTGTTCTTCCTTTTCGACTCTTTACCGTTGACTGTCATTTACAGCACCTTATCCACTCCACCCAGTTGTAATTACATGCAGCTTTCCAGCTTAGGCCAAAATTTCGATTCTCTTATCCTCGAAGTCCCCACTCATCCAAAAATGGCTAAATTTTCTCGAATATAGTTAGTTCATTCTGGAATTTTTGAACGTGACAATTTGACCCGAGAACCGCGGATATTGCATCTGCTTGATTACGAGACCTTCATCGTCAGAGCTGAAACTTGATACACTAACAATAAGACATACTCTAATGCTGACCACCGGTTATCGCTTTCAAATACTTGTCTCTACTCCTAATAACATAGTACGAACGATAATATCATGACAAAATATCAAAAACATAGGGGGGGGGGGAC